TCTAAACATTGTCCACCTCTACTTGAGGCGGATTTTTCGATCGCCAACATCTAGGTCGCCGAATTTCAAAATCCCCAGAGTTTATTTTCTCCGAAACCTGTAACATTTGACGGGTCTCAATCACCTGTGAACATCGATCGATTTCTAAAAATAACTGAGAGGACGCTGCCCGTATTCCACAGGCAGAATATTATATTAAAGGTTGGCACGGGGGGAATTCAGGAAGCCAAGGATTAAACGAGCGATCTTCCAGTGTAACCTTGCGCATTTTCTGTCACACTGAGTCTGATCAAAGTACGTCATACAGGTTCCTCGGTTAGCTGAATAAATTTACCGAAACTTACTTCTCTGAAGTCTGAAAACTCCCATGTCTTGTTGATTAAGAGTAATTTATTTCCTAGTAGTAAACTAAACCTGAATATACTGTACAATGTAAATGTTTTAATGTCACAACCAGTGAGAGTATAGCTCTCTTTAATAGGCTTAATCGAGATTGACACAGTTACATTTTAACTACATAGAATAGCCGAATGCTTGCTTAGTAACACATGTTTCTATTTAACTATGCGCTGATGTAGAATATACAATACACTTACCTGTCCCTGTATTCTATTCATACAGAAAATTAATGTTAATATTTGACAATACTCCGCCTGAGTAGTTTTGTTGTTATGCAAACCCAACACCGTTAGGTATTATTGAATATCTGTGATTCTGGCAGTCGGACGTACAACAAAAGATCACGAAGATGATATTCCATACACGAATGTTAGATCATCATTAAGCACAGCGTCTGTATCAACCTGCACCTGTGCATGCAGCGAACTAGGCATGGCAATCGACGTAGGACGGGAAATTTGGCTACAAGCACCGTGCTTCAAGAGGGTGATGACTACGCGCGTTTCCGTCTCGTAAACGGTCGTTGTCATTTGACACGGTCGATTCCATATCACTGTACGGTCTGGCCGACAGGTCATTGCCACATCACGGTGTATCATGAGTTTTTGAGAAGCAAAAAATCTTCAAAAACATTTAAAACCTATTAAAAAAACATTTCTATTGCAAATATGCGACAGCATTTTGGAAAATAGTAAAGATATTAGTGAAAAAAGACTCGGATTCAAACCCGGGTCAAAAAGTCTAATCCTAAATCCCTAATCCGCTAAATAATACTGTTTTAAATGTCCTGTTCAATCTTCTTGTGCATCTTGCGGATGTGTAACTCGGCGGGTTTATGAGAGTAGACGTTACAGATTGAGTACGCCGTTTTAGAACGATCATTATTTTCCAGAAAATTCAAACTATTTTCAAGATGCCTCTTCTATCTTATGCAAGTCACATCTTCAGAAGGACTTCGTGGCCATACCAAAGACAGTAGCCCGGGAAGAAGCTACCTTAAGTAACGGACGGAGTCTCTTGGCGGTATCTTAAGGAACCGTGTGGTCTTGGCCACCTGCGTCCACACTAGATATCAAAGACGGGCGGCATGAAGTAGGAATTATATTTAGCGTTTGAAAGAAACGTCGGCAGAGAATGAAAGAAGATCCCTGCCAGGCCCCGGTTACTGTTCGCTTCCTTATATAGTTTTCTTCTCAGTCGATGCTTGGTTAGATGTCATCAAAATTGACTGATCCAGTCTTCCTTACTTGAGTCTGTGCGGAAAAAAGAACAGAATCTGTGCTGTTGCTTAGCCTGTGTATACACAAGCTCTCGGCTGGAGGTTAATGACCCCCACCCCAAGAATTGTCCGGATCAATCCGGTTCCAAGCCGGATCAAAGCGAATCTATTCGGCTCGATCCGGACAATTCTATCCTAGTGGGAAAGTAACCTGGGTACCATCCGGATTTTCGTTCTCCAGCGCTCGAAAAAAATCATGATTTTTTCCAGCATTGCGGAGTGAAAATCCGGATGGTACCCAGGCTAGTGGGAAAGGGCTTGTGACAACCAGTTGATTGCTTTACGCACACTCCTGCGAAGGTCTAGCGTACGGTGTACAAAAGCAAAACGATCAATTTCCCCTCCAGTCGTGCCTACAGGCTGTACGGTACTGTCACAACTCCGTGGAAATTGATGAGATCACAGCGGGTCGGTTGACGCCAAATCTCCGGGTCGTCACGACGAGAATCCCGCGTCGTGACAGAAAACATCAAAAGTCGCACAATCAACCGAGTTCTGCAGCTTTATTGCCAAGCCTGTTATGCACAATCTCTCCCTGTCAGGGGCTGATTGGGACGTTTTAGGGCTTGAAAAACAGATTTTTCAAATCAACATTCTATTCACTCATCTACATGTACATGTAGTACACAAAACTATCCCAATTGATGGAGCGAAAATGCTAATTGTCAAGACGGTATCAAGTCGGCAAGACAGTATCAAATTGTCAGGGCAGTATCAATTTGCTATTGATGGACTGCTATGAAATTTGATATGCGGTTGGCTCTTGAGCTATCAAAGAAATCATTAGATTGTAGGGCCCTTAACGGCTTTCCATGGTACTGCAGCCGAACTCCGATATGTATTGTACCTCGTGACCTGGATATGCCATGGTCAAGGAGTTCGGGTGGTAGACAGCTCTAGCGCTCGAAAAGAAGTGGCGTAAGTTTGGGCCCTCTAGCAGCTTTCTTTAGAATCCTAGTGGCGTTTTAGTAGCAGGTTTTGAAACGGCACAAGTCAAGATGGGATGAAAGGCTTTTCATTTTGTCTATCTCGCGGCTATTCTCGTCTTGTTGATCAAACAACGACAGAATCACCTTGGAAACAGCCGGGAGAAGATTATTCCGTTTCAGCGAACGTGCTTTACGTACGCTTCGTGTTGCAGGTAAGAGGGCCTGCATGGGGGAATCCTGGCAACGTTTGGCGGTAAATTTAGGAGGACTGGCCACGCTTGGCGGTAAATTCCGTAAGGCCGGCAACGCTTAACGATAAATTCAGGAAGGCCAGTAGCGCTGAACGGTAAATCAGCGGCCAGTTGTGACTTAGGAATGGGTTAGGATCAAGCACGATTCTCCGAGTATCCAAGAACGTGGATTGTCGCAAGCACGTGCGCTTCTGGATATGCGTAGACTCTCCAGAACCGCGCCTGAGCATGGTTCTGCCTAAAGAACGGTTCTGGATACACCGAGACTATCCAGAACCGCGCCTGAACGTAGTTCTAGATAAAGCGAGGTTCTGAATACGAATAGACTACGGCACAGTATTCAGAACCGCTCCTGAGCATGGTTCAGAATAAAGCACGGTTCTGGATACGCCTGGACTATCCAGAACCATCCAGGATACAGGAGACCCCCATGTAGAGCACACGCGGCGTCACGTTGCAGGTAACGTCAGGATCTTTCATGTCAGTCCAGATAGAGCGGCGCCGTGCGGCAGCTGGGGCTCCGGTAATTAGGCCCAGGGAAACATATTGCGTTTCCGGTTACAATTTTCAATCTGACTTCATTTGAAGTAGGTTTGAACTGTAATTTTCAACATCAAAAAATCGACTTTCCCAATTGAACTCTTTATGTTGGAAATTAAGTACAGTCAGTTCAAAGCTATTTCAGAATTAATTCTACCAACATAGATGACTTTCAAGCTGAAGCCAGTACAAGTGGGAAAATGCATAGTGACAGAATCAGCATGAAAATCTACCTTAAAGACCTAGAGGAAGTCATTGCAATTACGGAATCAGCGATAAATGGATGAAACAAGGAATTCGACTCTACATGCTTCAAATATGTGTGAAATCTTCTGTTTCGTGTTTGAGCTATTTCATGGTTTTAACCTTTTCCTAATATGTAAAACGTTAACAAGAACAGAAAATTGATAAGGTTGGAGAAACTGGTTGTCAGATCACCAGTGGTGCCCCCGACGGTCACATAATTAGACTAAAGGATAGCTGAGATGAGATAAGATGAAATGAAATTAGAGATGTGAAAAACAGGACGCGATATCAAATTACTTTTTAATGAGGCTACGTTAGAAGTGGGTGTATCGCCTTGAGGCTTCCTTTGTACGGCGTTTTTATCATCTGTAATGTGATATAAGGATTCTTTACAGGCTAAATATCAAAGTTCGGGATATCAGCCGGCGGCGAGAGGGCGGAATCGCCTTAAGGGTGGTCCGGCACCGTTACTAGGCAACGCTAATATGTTTACCAATTTCTCATGCCGCTGGACTCACGGGCCCGTGAACATGCATATTGATTAGTACAAGCCATCTCAGACTAAAACCTTACTTCCAATACGGGCTGATCATAACAGTGTATGACAGTAAAGAGGTGACAAAACAAAGGTCACAAAATCGCCATTCTGTTGATGCCGAAATCTGCAATCTCGTGCTAGGGCGTAAAAACAAAGGAAGCAGATTTAGAGGGTGTTTCAAATCGACATGTTGCAGCTCGTTTTTTTTTGAATAACTATAACACATCTTCTTCGTTGTAGTTTTATAAAGGCCTTGCTCAAACGTACGTACGTGTAATGAACATTATCTACAGCGTTATGTTACTTGCTAAACGTTAGTTGATTAAGATAACATTATGTCTTCTCTTCAGGGCCTTCATCGCAAGACGCTGTATGGAGGCGTGTGTGACGTCATATACAAAAATACAGACAATTTAGGACTCCAACGGACGCCCACGACCAAATTCCTAACCTACCACCAGACAATAGACCAATCAGAAAAAGCAGTTCGACCAATAGAAGACCGGATACAGATCCGTAAAAGTGACGCATGATTTTGTACGTTTTCGTTCTACATTCCCTAGTTTTGACGGACGTAGAC